TGATGGGGCGCAGGAAGCCTCTCCTTGCCCTGCTGCTGACCCCGCCGCCTGGGTGTTACAAGCCGTCCCTTCCTCCCTCCCCATCTCCAGCCTCCTCCCTCCTTCACTCTGATTCCCCTCTTTCCATTGCTCCTGTAGCAGCCTTTCTGCTTGCATCCTGTTTTTTTTATCTACCCTCCTCTACATGGACTCATCAGATTCACTGCAGCTCTCTGCAGTTCTTCCATCACTGGTCACTAACAAAGAAACATGAACACCTTGTGTCTGACACAAATCCCTGATCTGTAATCTGCAATCCAGTTAGCGAGGCCTCCTAGCCACTCGCTCAGGTACCCTTCACAAATGACCTGCTAACACCTTCAACTCGTTGAGAAATGTTGGTTTTAGAGGAAACCATTGTGAGGATTCTGTGTCGGAAGAGTTGTTAGAATGTCTGCGGAAATACAGAGGGCAATTCTGAACAACGAGATTGAAATGGCTACTCAGTGTCCGTCTTCTCCGTGTGGGCTTTTAATTAAATCACTGAATTGGCTTCAAATTGGAAACATGACAGAGCATGAGAACATTTGAAAATATCTCAGGGACGATGAGATTTAATAAAAAGGAAAACCTACTCGCAGCTTTCTAATGCACGCCTGGGATTACAGATAGCTCCTTAACTTAATAGCAATTTAAAGTGGATTTGTGTATGCCACTGAGTGTCTGTAATGATGGCTGTTTACGCCGCCCCTCATTTATAATAATTAAACAGAATGGATTGGGGGGTGGGTTGCTCGGACACGGTTCTGGGCTATTGGCTTGGGCTGAATAATGAACTACTGTAGTTGACCGGGAGATGACCGCTGCCTCCTGCATGACCCCAAACCCCAGACTCACCCCCTGCTACTCTGGGTGGTAAATAGGATGTCTTGCCTGTCTATAGCGTCTTGGTGTCTATGACCACAATAGCAGCTAGGGGTCTTTAAATGGCTGATGTGACAGAGGAACGGAGAACAGAGAGAAGGGGGGACAGGGTTCACACAAAAGAATAAAGGGATCACGTCTCTTTGTGTCTCTTGCTTGACTTTTCCCATCTGATTGTTTGTCCACTTGCGCTTTTCTTCAGCTGCATTCAGTCAGTGTGACCCGTGGGCAGCAGACTAAAGCAGCCTGGGCCACAGAGGAACCTGCTATGACCCCCAACAGGAACACAGTCACTGGTAGCTGGCCATTTAAGCACCACCTTCTTATAATATTATTTGGTATTATTTTATTATTTGTATTTTGGATGATAAAAATCACAGAAATTGCTCTGAACGTGACGTGACTCAACTTCTGGGGTTTGGAACAAGTTGCCCTTTAAATGAAACCAACCAGCTACAAACAGCCACAAGGTGTCAGTGGTGTCCATGCTCTCATTGTCTCTGGCAATTTGCTGCAGCTGAACACTTTGGGGTAAATGTGAAATGACGCTCTGCTTTGGGGGAGGTAGCTGATTGGCTGGCCTGTCTCCCTCTTCTCTGTGTTTTGGTTGGACAACAGATGGAGGGAGAGAAGGTGAGCAGGGCAATGAGAGAGAAAGAAAGAGAGGTGGCAGCATAGCTTGCCAGAGTTTTAAGGACCCAGCTAAGGTTAGTGCCATAAATCTCTTCCCACTCCATCCGGCCGTTCTCCATGAGTGCCTGTGGGAATACAGGAATGTGACAGCTGACCTGTAGAGCCCGTGTCTTTTGATTGTGGACACATAAATTAGAAGGCAAGAGTGCTGCACAGCCTCATGTCTCACTGTGCCACACAGCTGACAATGTATACAAGTGTCACACAACGACAGAGAGACGTTAAACAATAGCTTTTAGCCTCTGTGATGAATGAGCACCTGGTGGTAACAGCACACTGTAAATCCTATCATATTGTTTTCCTATGCGTGTGAGCTGCACTTTGGATGAACGGCGAGCAGTGGAAATGTATGTGAAACATTGTGACGATTTAAATCAAGTTAAAAAAAATCTTGAGAGAGTGATACTGCAAAAAACCCAGCTTGGTGGAATTTGTCATCACATACTAAAATGTCATTGCAAAGCCATAATGTGTGTTAGAAAAATGCGTGCTCTTAGAAATGAAATGCCAGAGCCAAGAGACAGAAAAAAATTCACAAGATGGATTTCAGAGTGTGTTTCTACCTCATGTATCAGCGGCTGAGCATCGACACAGAGCTCTGCAGAGAGCAAGTTAGGCATCGCAGGAACCAGCGGCACAGGCTCACCCTGAGATTAATTCTCCTGAACTAATGGGATTCATATGAGTTGTGAGGTCCCTAATTTATTTACTTGGTCAGTGACATGCAGATATGCACTCGCACACATCAACACACAAGGGGACGGTGAAAAAAAAATACACACAGATACAGTAAAAATGCCCCCACTTTACAGTAAGTGAGGGATCAATAATGATGGATGTGGGCCTTTTATACAATCGGCATGTTCTCCTCAGTTCACAGCCATATGACACTACGCCTGTGGCTATCCCATTCTGCACTTCAGCAGTCAATCACACCCCAGCTTTAAAAATAACAGTTTGTTAGCACCATTGATTTAGCACTTAGAGCGTGTCCTTATTACCTTGTAATTATGGTCAGTGTTGACATAACAGCACAGACAACCAGGCCTCCCACCCTCCAAGAGAATTTATGGGCCCAGGTTTTATTACGGCCATTTCGTGTGTCTGGGTCCCCAGTTAAGCGACAGACTTGAGTTCCAGCCAAGGGCCCGTATTTCACTCACTGAGGTCAGGGTTCTCAGGAATCCCCCCCCCCCGTAAAACTAACGCCGACTGGGTCGGGGCCTGTGAGAGAACGCAGCGAAGACACAGGGAAGCCCTCCCCGAGGCCTCGTTAAAATAAACAGCCGATTAAAGGCCATAATCCAAATAATGTTATTCATGGGGGAAATGTGATGCCATTAGGACTCAGGGGGGAACACAGGTGGAGTCACGTTGTCACACAAAACTCAAACATCCGGAAGCCGCAGCCCATACATAATTTACAGCCTCCCCAAGACCCGGGCTTTAAATCCTGGGGAAGATAGTTGGAATGGTCCCTCCTAGTTTGTCACAGTGTTATGACTTCGGCGTACAGCTTGACAAAACAAGAGCGATCTGTGTCATTAAGGCTGTGAGACACTACAGCCAAGTGTTGCTTCCAACCAAGACTCACTTTGCTTTTAAGGTCTCCAGTGAGGCAGTAATCTGATCCGTACAGTGAAAAGTGATAGGGCAGACTGGGCCGAGGCAGATCTGTAGCTCAGTGCCAGCTCCCCTTTGCTTCCCCCAAGTACACTGCCTGTGTCATCCCCCCTCTGCCCCTCCTGTGAAAAATGGCAGTAGCTGTTTTGACATTTCCCCCTATCAACCGGCGCACACAGACAGAGCAGGCTGGCATCCCATCAATCTGGCACTGCCAAGAGAAGCTCAATTAAAAGTCCATCTTGTGTGAAAGCATATTTCACCTGTGCCATATCTGCTGTTATAAACAAAGGGCTAATGTTTCTGTGACAAAAACAGAGTTCGATTGGTTATCCATCTGAGGCCTCGCCTAAAAAAAAAATGTATTCATAATCATTAAAGTACAGCTTCTCAAACCGCTGATCAAAAATGTGATGAGACTGACTTCATTTCTCCGCCATTTTCTGCCAGGGACATTACTGACAAGAGAAGCTGAGTATGCTGTAATTTCTTCCTCCCACTGCTCTTCAGATAATTTAACCCAAACACAGGACCTGATGATTCAATTTCAAACTCAACCAATAGCAACAGTCTGGGAACAAGCGGCTGTACGCTGCAGAGTAAAAGTGCCCAAATTACAGGCCATTGATTTCCAGTAGGGTGGCTTTTCACTGGTAGATACTCTGCATGTTACTACAAGATGGCCATAAAACACAAGGAAATAGATTGAGGGGAAAGAGCTGAGATGCACCTGCAGTTTATGTCAAACAGAAAGGAAGGGCTTCGCATGGCTGCCTACTCAATTAACCCCTGTGATAGAGGCTCCATAATGAACAACAGCACCATTACACAGCGCACCAATGGTGCTTCACCCTGGTGGCCCGGGAATAGACGACGGCTCTTGTCTGTGCTTCTCTGCAGCATCCGCACACAAGTGATATTGGCGCATTGTTAAACCCGGTAAATGAGAAGCTGATGTTGTTTAACTATGAAATAATTACACATTTCATACATCGGCGTGGTTTTTAATTTGTTTTAAACACGAATGAAGCAGACTGTCGAAAAATGAACGCTGTAATAGGTGAGAAGAGTGACGTGGCTTAGTTACAGATGTGATGGTTTTCTTGTTGAAGTTAATAGGACGTGATTTCATATACAATATTGAAGGAAGAAGTCGTTAGCGTGTCAGCTTTACAGCACAAAGATGATTGGTTTGCTTGTTTGATCTTTCTGTCTGGAGGTTGCAACTTTTTCCCGTGGGTTTGTGGAGGTTTTCTCTAGGACTGGTTTCCTCCCACAGTCCCCAGAAATGGGTTGATAGGTTAGGTGTTGAGGATGAATTCTGTTGTGTGTCTGTAAATGTACAACAACAGTAAAGCCAGTTCTTCTTCTTCTTCTTCTTCTTCTTCTTTGTACAACCGTCAGGGGTTTGTTCTTATTCTTGTTCACGTCTTGCAGTTCATAAATAGCTGTTTTCACGAAGCAGATCTGGGTTTGTGACTTTCAACCTTCTGCCTTCACACTGTGACATATATTGGTTTTAACATCTGTAAATGTATTCAAAGACAATGGCGTATGCTAAATTCTAAAAAAAGGTTAAATCTTTGCTACAGCAAACACATACAGTGTTGTTCGATGAAGTCTTGCTTTGTCATTTCAGAAACTACTTTGTTTGGAAAGCCAACAACGTCTAATGATGATGTTGTTTAAGCACATGGTCATTACATTAAATGAAGTTTTCTGCCAGCAACCAAGACCATTTGCTGCAAGTAATTGCGAAAAATGATATCTACTTTCTTGTCAATGCAAATCGCTTTCTGAGAAATAAAACTTTGAGGATTTGTTTGTTCATCGTAATAAATTCATAAATGACTAAAAACTACATTTTGTTTGCGGGATAATGAGGAGGATGTTTAGATAATCTTTCAGATTGCTTTTACTGGTGGTGCTGCTGACCTTGCTAATGATGTAAATGAGATCTCCTCTGTGGAAGGACAGCTCATCTGGCTCGTCAGCTCGACAATCCCATAAACCCTGGTAGTAGTTGCCGTAATCTGATGACCAAGACCAGAGGAAATGCAGAGCACAAATTTAAATTCTGAGATTGACTCTGGAAACTTCTTTAGCTTGAGATTGTTGTCATTATTAGCAGGAGATTGAAGAGAAGAGGTTCTGACCTGGTTTGTTGTTCTTCTCATCACCGTCATCATCCTTCTGAAAGGACAAATCTTCATCTACAACAACAAAAGACAACAAAATGACCGCTGTGACATAATATCTGATAGATAAATACAACAACTCACTGATTTTCTTCAGGTTGGTTTTAGAAAGACAAGAGGAAGGACAGGTTTACACAAGATTTATTTTAATCTTGAAAATGAAGTTAAAGAAAAACAAGGGAGGCTGTCTCGCAGGCACGTGGAGGCGGACATGTCATCGACTGTGGGGCGTGGCCAAGCGGTGGTCTGAGAGGTGACACACTGATATGCCTGCCCTCTGTCTCCCACATCCATCTTTAACACCAGCAGGCTGACAGCAACACCACAACCAGGCAACACTATCCACCTTCCAGCACAACCTGCACCTCTGCTTCCAGGAAGAGCTGGAAGGACGACACACACACTGACACATGCACGCGCACGCGGCACACACGCACACACACATAAATAGACTGTAAATCCAGCAAATGTGTATTTGTGATTTAAAGATCGATTTATATTTGGATGCAGAAAGTGTCTTGTGTCTGTGCAAAAAGTCTGATCTTTGTCTCAACGCTGATACAACTGACTTGTCCCACAAACAGAATAACTTCCTTTTCCAAGTTTTTCAAAATGCAGATGGGATCAATTTAACGAACGTGGGCAGAAAACATAGAAAGACAGAAAAGGGAGATTTTCTATTTATTTGCTGCAGGAGGCTGAGACATTTTTTTTTTCCGGCTCTGTTCAGCTGCTGTAGAGAAGAGCATCCTTCAGTGGAGAGGCCACGGCTATGGGCCAGCACTTTCTATATCAAAGTGATTTAATTTTCCAGTCAATAAAATCAGTCATCAGCCGCGGAGCCAATGCCGCCAGCATCGCATTCTCCCTGCAGTTCTGCCGTAGTCAAAGTTTGGCTTCAATAGAAACGGAGAGAGTCTGGTATCCTAACAACTAACAGTCCCATTTAACAGATAATAAATGTCAACAGTCAACATGTCAACTTCAAAATAAAGTTGCAGTTTGAGATGATTGAGATTTTTGTTTAGAATCTTCAGATAAAAGTCCAAGTTGTTGACATCTCTCCTTCTATTTCTGAAATAATTTTGAATTCAGTTCTCTGAGATAAACGTTATGAGATGTGAATCCATTTTCTTTTGTCCAGAAATTATACTTACATTTAGAATACGGTTTTAAAACATGAACATGTCTACTGTTAATTCAAATTTTAAATCAGATTAATTAATCAGAACTGTGATTAATAAAATAAACAGTCAATTAAGTGAAGCCTGATAAATGAAAGTAAGAGTAAATACCACCCATGTCATATTTGTTTTTGTTGAGTAGAAAGAAAAAGATGTCTGACAAACAAGGTAAATAACATAACAGGCATAATAATCTAATGATTTAACAGTATCTAATCACTGTGAAGGAGCTGAGGGTGAGCGGAGGGTGGTGCAGAATGATTGATAAGTGAAGGGGTGAGAAAGTGAACGAAAGAGCCGGTCATTCGATATGCCATCTGTGGTCAGGGTCTGTACCTCTTCCCAGATGGCTTTGAACGCCGGCGTGACAGTCAGAAGAATGATTTCCCTCTCACCAGTGATTTTGGCAAAGGTAATGTACTCACTGGGTGAAACAGAATCTTGATGTATCTTATTTAATAGACGCAGTGATGGACGACGGCCCTGAGAAGATCGGATCACCCCTTTTGTCCTTCTCGGGATCTTGTAGCCACCCTGACACATGTGACCGTGTAGCCCTCCCAGTGGAGAACAGCACTCACGCACACTACAGCTGAGCACGGCACAGTTAGCCCCGAGATTGATTAAATATTTGTACCTTTGGAATTTTTAATACATTGTTTCTCTGAGGCTTAACGTAGGAATCTCACTGTCCGTCATTCAAGAAAAACTCCAAAGATACCATTACCATTGTATGAATTATATTTATTATTATACAGTATTATATTATTTAATTAGATATATTTCATTAATTATACGATTTTAGTTTACAAAGAGGACTCACTGGGATTTCACTCTTTTTCCAGGTCAAAAATCAAGAACATAACGTAGGTCGGAAATTTGATTGAACTAACCATTCTAATTATTGTTGCCTTTACTGTACACACACACACACACACACACACACACTTTTCGTCAGAGCTCATTCTCAATCAAACCCTGATATCAATAAAAGACATAACATTAAGAGCTCTAGAACTATTTTAAGGCTGTGTGAGAGATGCATTTTTTTAATTGAAACTTAATTTCACCTAAATTACTGTTGCTAGGCAATTTTAGCATAAAAATCTCTGTTTAGTGGATGGAATTGAAGGGCTATTTGTTGCCTGGCAACATTAGCTAATTGGACGGTCCCTGACAGAGCGTTCAGAATGACCCTCCAGCTGATTTTCTTAACGTACAGTCACAACAGAGAGCTGTGGAGAGAAGAGAGAGATGAAGCTGATCTCTCTCTGTCCAGTCTTGTGTGGTCGACCTGAGTCCTGACCAGACTATCTGTGTGGTTTGGTTCCTGAGGACGTGACCGTGCAGTGATGGTGATGTGGACTTAACAGAATGTACAACAGAACCAGAAAAGTTCATAATGATACTGTCTGGCTGCAAATCTCTGAGGGCCGAAGCGTGTGTGTGTGTGTGTGTGTTTGAGGCAGAAGGTCTGTTTCTATTTGTCTGACTCAGACTACAGGTTTGTGTGTGCAGCTGCTTCCTTTGACTACCCAGTTCTTTGTGTGTGTGCGTGTGTGTGTGCGTGTGTGTGTGTGTTTGTTGTTAATGACTCGCTCTCATACCTGGAACCACTTCATAGATATCTTCATCCTCCTCCTGGTCCTCCCCCTCATCTCGCCGTCCTCCGTGTCTCAGAGGGGCCAGGGCAGCTTCGGGCCTGGGCGGAGGAAGGCCGGTCACCCCTTCAATGTCATCGTATGTCCCCTCATTCTCCTCCCTCTCCCTGTAGTCCTCCTCCTCATCCTCACAGGGTATTGAGTTGGAGCTGAGATCTAATAGAGAAAATGAGACGGAGTTGCGTTTGTTCCATAAAAAATGCAGCAGAAAAGTGGGGAGGATATGACAATAAATACAAAAGGCTCTGGAGGAAAAACAGACACAGACAAAGGCTGTAAAGTAACAGTGTTTGGACTGTATTTGATTTGAAGACAATCTTTTTGTTGTCCGCGTTCTATCCTTAAGTTAAGAACTATATATAAAAAATTTACAGTTTTATCTCAGAGATTATTTCCTTAAGTTAAGAAATATATTCAAATTTACAGTTTTATCTCAGAGATTATTCCATTATTTATAATATTGTATTAGAAAAAAAATCAGCTATTGTAAGATTCCTTTAAAAACCTTAATCTTTCCCCTGTAGTGTCATACTCTGGTTCAATAAATTATATTCAAAACGTTTATAAATGCATTGCCTCTTTTAAAATATACATTCATATAAAATATACATGTAAAAAATATGTATGAAATATTTCACGTTTTATTACAACTTGTAGGGACTATAAAGCCCTGGAATATTTTATATCCGATGTTCTCTTTTGTATTCAGAATACAATTTGCGTCACATCAAAATGAATGCAGTCTAATTATATTCTTAGTTAACAGCAGGGAATTGATAACTTTAACAGGTTAAAATTATGGTTTGTTTATCATTATAATTATTTATACTTTATGTCAACACAATAAAATACAAACCTAATTACATTTAAAATACCAAAAACTGCTGTACTAAAATAATACATAAATAAATAACAGAAAACTGTTATAGCCATATAGAACCATTATTTTAATAGTAGTAGTAAAATAACAGAATTTTAAGTTATTAAAAGTAAAATCTTGTTCTCATTTTTTTATTTACTTTTTTATTCACTTTCAGTAGGCTTTTTTTTTTAATCAATAAATAAAAAACTATTGTGGCACACATCATCAACAAATCTCCTGGAGATACCTAAATAGTTTCAGTTAGAATTCTCCACTTTTTCCCACATACAGTCCAAAAATGGAACATTTGACTTTCTCTTGTTTCTGTTTGTCATTGTTTAAGACATTTTGAGACATCTCCTCCTCCTCAGTGCTACTGTTTACTATTGTCAGTTAAAGCACAGAGGTTAAATGTCTAAAGAATTTGCATAGGATGAGTTTAACCATTATTCTATTGCACACCTTAATGAAAATGCATGCAGCCTTTGTTCTTCTTCTGGAGAAGGGACTGTGGACTGAGACGCAGAGAGACGTGTTTTATAGTAAAACACGGACCGTAAGGAAGTAAGACAAACTGCAGAGTGTCTGTTACTTCCCGCAAATCAGTGGCCCAGCCCGAGCCCATTTTAGAGTAGACGAGGCAGGGCTGCCCGCTCAGATGGAGGAGCCGTCTCATTGCAGGCGACTGTCCGCTGCAACACAGGGTATCAGGTCCCCGGCCGTACACCAGCGGACAAGCAGAAATCAATGTCACTGGAGGATAACCAGAACATCTACCAATCAATTTCCTGTAAGTTGGAATTCGGTAGGAGGGATGGGGGGGTCAAGGAGGAGGCCCAGAGCTACATGCTGGCGCACGTGACATGGTGGGCGACTTGTCGAAGGAGGAGATTGAGGACGGCTGTGCAGTTAGTGACAGATTGTGAGGGAGGGGAGGTTTATTTGAGTCAGGGATGATGAAGCACGCTCTCTCACTTCTGACCTTTCCTGCTGCCCAGAAACACAAGCAAACTTTGTAAAAAAAAAATGAGAAGGGAAAAAGTCTCAATGTTTATAGTCCCAGTTACAATTCATCTGTGTTATAAAATGCCAACTCTGGTCCATTTTTTTTAAAGACTAAAAATACATTTGTTCTAACTCCTAATGTCCTCTGTCCGGAATTCTTGATTAGGCAGCAACATTTAAAAGAGGAAAAAGGCCTTGAAAGAAGATCAGAGACGCACAGTGTGTTCTTCCAAAAAGCTGCACATACAATAGGTTTAAAAGCAAATACACAAAAACTCACCTTTAAGTAGGAAATTGATTTGGTCAACCCATTCTCTGGCCTCCTGAGGGCTGCTGGCAGTGAACTGAAGGGACAGAGTGGCAATAATCCTGCAATTATCATCACATCTAAGGGTGCGTTTACGTAGACATAAAGCTCCTGATTTGTCTTCATGGAGGCACAGAGCCACTCTCTCCCTATCTGGCACGGAATAAGACAAACAGAAATCTGGCCTATGGTTTTATGATACCATCTGAAGGATCTAAATATTGTAAATTTATATCATAAACTCATTGTGATTAAGAAAGCCTTATTACACTCAGACGGTTAGACTGCTAATGTCCCATTCAGTGTGTTAAATGAAAGGACAAAGGTTCAGTGATCCTGATTCTGCAGAATATGTCAGATAATAATAACAATAATGTCATTCATTTGACATGTTGTCATGAGCTGAGATGTAAGTAAGGCATTTTCAGAAAAAACTGGCTGAAGTATAGAATACATTTTTTAGTTTACAAAATATTGAAAAAAAACATTAAAATTTGAATATTTTGTTTAAAAAAAATCATGTAACAATTCAATGTGATTATTTTTAAACAGAGAGAATTCGGATCTATGGGATTTTTTGACTGAATTGTGACCATGATTGTATAGCAACAGAAATGTCAGTGATCTCTATGAGGCACATTCATGTCGTGAATTGTGATTTAGATCTATATACACAGCCCCCCCGGCTTAAAAGGTCACACTACAATTCCCACTAAAAATATATCTCGGAACATCTTGCCTAACTTGAATTTCTTGACATATATTTTTATTTACTATTTACTATTTGCAAGGCCGTTGCTGCCAGCCGTAATTCAGACCTGGAAAGTCCGTCGTCCTGGCGCGGCAAGCTCAAAACAGGCATTTTTCTTTGAGTCTCGTCTCGCGTTGGTCACCATCTGTACACTGTACTCGGTGATATAGAAGGAACCCTTCTGCTGCTTATCTGTGTGCAGGGAGGAGAAAACACACTGGTGTGTTTTCTCGCTAGACACAATCTGTGGTGTTTCTGGGTATGTTTCTGGGTATTTAAATACAAACCTTTTTCACTGCCATAGTAGTAGAATACTGAGTTGCTGATGACGCACCATCGTTTTTGCCACTCTGAGCTGAAGAAGCTGTGGTCTGATATAATGAAAAAGAGTGTAAAGATACAGTCTATACAGATAGAGTTTATACATTGAATGAGCACATTTTAAATCAGTGTACTTCTTACTTACTAAAAAACACAATATTACTACACTAGTGTGTAATAAGTAAGCATTTTTTTTAAACTTTACACAAGAATGATACCAGGCATGTTAAAAAAATAAATATAAAAAAAATACTTTATACAGTGTAGGTTGCAGTACCTTTTCGTTTCTTCTCTAAGTATCCTTGCTTCAGGACGGGGTGGAGGTCCTGGGCGGCCACAAGGGGGTTGTCTTCCGCGCCTGTGAACACACACAAACAATTACTCAGAAAAGATAAAGAAATAAAGGGAAATCTCTAAGCTCCAATTTGACTTCTTCAACAATGTTACAATTTTATTGAGCAAATGCTCTAAAAAAAAGTGTTTGATTAATGATGACATTAAAGTGATTAAAACTGAGGACACCATTTTATCTTTTTTTGATAGATGATATAGAACTATCATTAATCAACTAATTGTTCAGGCTTTAACTAATAAGATGTACTTTAAATGTTCTTCAGGCAACACACACACACACACACACACACACACACACACACACACACACACACACACACACACACACACACGTACCATGACGATAAAATGTGCAGCCCAGTGAATCAAATACATCCTGGCCGAGCTTTAGGAAACTGGGATCGATACATTTACAGTGCTGCTGAGCGCTGCACACCATTCATCTGCTCACATTGCACTTTTAATGGGAGCAACCTTCCTGTGGGGACTCAAACAACGCTCATCAATTTGCAAAGTCAAATTTTAAACATGAGAGGACAATGGCGCAGCTATAAGAGCCTTAAGTTAATTAGTGCAGTTGTTAGAAAGCCATTCGCAACCCACGTCAGATGGTATTAATCCTAATGTGCCATTTGTGCCGGGGAGAAGTTTTGAGGCGCCTCTGCTTCTTCGTTGTTGAAGGTAGGAGCTCACTCAGGATGCTGTGATTATAGAAAAGTTAAACACATGTCCAGCAGAACACCTGCAGAGAGACGGTTTTAACCAGCTGTCCAATCATTCGGTTGCTTTTGAAGGTCTAACAGGCAGCGTTGTATCACTCAAGTGCAGTGTGTATGACATCACTCCATACTGAGTGTTGATGACTCAGCACTGGCAGTTAGCTAAGACGGGACTTAGTCTTAGTATTAGTCAGGGGTAACTAAGTCTTCTGTGACAGTCTCTCAGTCGAAACCCAAGACTTGACTTGATGTTTTCTTCTTCTGTGACTCATGTCCACAGTCAACTGACACCTCTTCTTCTTCTGATTCTTTTTCGAGAGTCTTGACCCTGACTTGATCCAAACATTTTCTTTTGTAAATACGACTTAAGACTAAGAATCTCTTGTTTTGTGACTTGAGACTTTCTGGTGGACTCACTTTGAACTTTCCTGTTGTGATTTAAAGTCTCATTAGAACCCTGTCGTTGGAGTCAACACAACACTCTTATTTGATCTACTTCCAAGCCTTAAGTCATTAGTGTGAAACCTGGAAAACTGACCTCTGTTTGACCCTCATGGCCATTTTCTACCCTACGCCTTAGCAGAAGGCGTCGACTTGTTTCCACCATGTGTCAGTGTTAGTTTCCTCCAAATTCATTAGTCTTGCAGAAGGGTTTAGTCTGAACCACAGGAACAATTTAAAGATCTTTTAAAACAGGTTGGTGTGACACCTCGTACAGTCAATTGATGACAGGGGGAAGGATGACTGGGATCCACCTCTATTTCCCCCATCACAGAGGCCCCGGTTTACTGCTAGGAGAAGTCAAACATGTCAACTCCAAACAGGGTCCTGCGGCTGAAACAAAGAGCAAGAGAAACCTTTCTCTCATTCATAAAAACCTCCACGTGAAAAAGCATCTCCGTGAGTGCCCACTCCAAATTTGTCCTGCCCTCTCTGCCTCTCCCTCTCTCACTCCTGCCGTGTTGCCATGTTGAAACTGCTCTCGGTGTGTTATGTCAAACAGTCTCAGGTCTAAGGAGAGCAGATGAAGTTGATACTCAGCCCCTAGCTTGGCTAACATTCCAGAGATTTAGCATCACAACGGTGCAGAGTGTGATCCGACTTCCCTGCCTCTGCCTGGGCTCCTGGGCCTGACAGATGAGCGGGTCATTCCAGAGCAGAGCCCCAGACACTTCACAGCAGCAACACGCCACATATCATCAGACTGCCTTTGTGGATAGACTGACTGGTGACACAATAAATAGAAAGGTGCTTGGGACTGTTTTGTCAAACAGAACCCGATTCAGTTCGTCATAACAAACAGCAGTCATTACGCTCCTCCACCTCATTTATCCGCCAGCAGACTGTCCATTTTTTTCCTGGGCCTGCTTCCCTGTTGCGGCCCACTTCTAATCCCCTCATCCGTCTGCCTCCCTCGCTCTTCATTTATCTCATAGGGTCCAGCATGGTTAATAGATGAGGAGGTACAAAATCAACATGGGATCACTCTGATCTTCCTGAGTCAATAAACATTACACATTTGTGCGTGTTTAACACTTTAACGCTGAGTGACCTGACCTCACTTCACTGTCCTGTAGGAATACGCACACAGGGACACAAGCATAAGAGTGAAACTGGAATAAGAAAAAACCCTAATATTCCAGTTCTAGTTCCTTCCACTGGGTCGCAGCACATGCTTCGTAAAAGCAAAGCGTTGCTTTGTTTTTGCATGCTCCGATTCTTAACTCTACCTCAGACAAAAGCATCTTTCTGGTCCTGAGTTTACAATGCCTCCTTTAATGAAAATCACACTAACACCTCTTTGGGACCAATGCAATTTTAAGTGGATATTCAGAGGTAATGTTATTTGAAAATGTGTAATTTAGAGCATTAAAAAAAACCCACAGTCATCATGCTGTTTGAGTTCTGAGTTTTAGTACAGGCATACAGAGACACATTAATGTATCTAATTAAGGCCTCATCAAAATGGAAGACAGACGGCACTCTTTCATAAAAATCATAAATTGCCAGTATCAATTATTCAGAGCAATGCCATGACTTCATTTTCATCCCTTTTGCGTTTTAATTAGCACCATCCACAGCTCTGGTATTGACATTAATTTGATGGCAATTTATTGATATTTCAGCATAACCTATTTAGCTGAGTGCAATTACCAACAAAGAGGATCAGATGAATGTGATGTTAGAGTCTCATCCCGCGTTTCGTAAATCAAGGTGAGGAGTGGCTACAGGGCCGCGCTAACTGAATCTAACGGCCCTCAGTGGTAATCAGTGAGAAAAGATTTCAGCCACCTCATTTCCAAATGGAATGAGATAATCTATAGAAATTGACCAGAAATATGTGTTTAATTGATTCCGACAAAGGAGCGTCTCCATGAGTGAGCTGACCCCGTGTGACGCAGAGCCCTCTGTTCCGTCGCCTCCCTGAACTTGTTTTAAACCCGGGTTGGGGAGTGTACCCGCAACCATGCATCTGAACTGGCAGCAGTTTGCCTCAACCGCAATCTCTCATTTGGTTATTCACACTCTCTCAGCATGGTGTTATGAGCTCAGCAGTTGATCTTGCAAGAAAAGGCTGATTTATGTTAGCATGACCAGAGGGAGTTAATGTATTCTCTCATTAAAATCCACTTTAGTTGGGCTGAAAGTCAATCAAAGGCTGGATAGAGAGTGAATCAAAATGAAGGGAAATAGAAGGGTGGGAGGACTAATACGTTACATTAGACCTAACGGTGGTCATAATGCAGGGGTGATGTTATGAAAACACCAACATGCGCTGAAGATGTTGGGGCGCACAGATGATGGTGAGCGCAGAGTGGGCATTCATTTAGTTCTCTGAGAAAGAGAAAGACAACAGTGACAACACTGACACGTTCCAGTCCCAGCAGGGTACTTGTTATTTTTAGGTCAGGGGTCTAGACCACGGCTACATCCCGACCTCCAGTAACACGACAGTTAGTTAGACAGTTAGATGGCGTAGAGGCTGAGAGGAGCGGGGACACAACCATTTTGTCGGCAAGTGTTTTCAGTTCAGCTTTTGAAACTTTGTCAAGAAAATGTATTTTATTCTCCTGCCTGAAATTACACAGAGTTGTAGATGTTGTAATAATTTTAGACAGTTGAATAGAAAGTTGAATAGGGACATTTCGGTAAGACGATGAAAATCCAAATAAACAGCTAATATATTTTACCATTTTCCATTACTGCCCATATTAGTAAATATATTTATGTTTTTAAACCTGTTTGAACTGTTCTTTACAACTATTCCAGTTTCTGTGTGTGTGTGTATGTGTGTGTGCGGTCCTTTGTGCTCGTAATCCTATATAACGCTCTTTTATAAAAATTGGTTTGCCTTTGTCGCGTTGAAATGTATCTGGTCTGAAGTCACTGACACGCAAGCCTGTTTTTATCCTTTTAAAACATTCCTGTGTTTTTTTGTTAAATAACACCATTTGTATTTTTTGTATGTTTTTAGTCAAAATACTAAGTCAAAATAATATTAATATAAAAAAGGGAAATCACAGTGTTTCAATTGAAGACCAGTGCTGCATTGTCCAGTTGATTGAAAAGTGACATTTGATAAACAACGTGTTAAAAGTCACTGATAAGATCATTAAAAATATATAACAAGTTCTATTATTGCAATATTTAACTCTTCTTTAACATTGAACTTTCTATCTTCAGATGTTGAGAAACGGCAAAAATAATTGCAACATCACTTTGAGGTAAAAGGCACATAATGTTATGTGTTTCATAGGCAATAAAATCCTAAAAATAATTTAAAGACACAGCCCTGATGTATGTACTGTACATTAAAGTACAGATGCATCGGTACAAACTTCAGTAACAGATCATATTTTCCTTAAGGAGCTCAGATTTGTCTTTCTTCAGATAAAAATTTGCAGAGGTTGCGATTCGAATGTTCGAATGTAGTTACATTAAAAACATTTTTCTGTACAGAAAAGATATTATTAGAAAAAGATATATATGAGACTATGTCTCTTGCACTTTTTAATTTATTTTTTTAATCATTGTATTTATTTCTGTTTTCTTTCGAAAAACATTTTACAAGTGTTTTTTTAAATATAGAAAAAATGCAGCAAGTCATGCAACAAATATGTCAAAAATGTAAAGTATTTTTTTTAAAAGACGTTTTTAATTAAAAAAATCAAGTACTGATGGGTGAGTTATTGTTTAAGCAGTTAATTCATATTTTTATCAATTTGGTAAATTAATAGAATAATTTCTATCTGTTATAAATGCTAAAAATATACATAAAACTATG